AATCTGTATTGTGCCCAATTAACACCTCCCTTCCTCCACAATTCCCAATTCATTTTCTTGTCAAAATTTACATTTATCCTACTTATCTCATTGTCTTCTCGGTTAGGCTAAAGTTTATTATTCCGGGGTGTGTGATAGACTTACCTCCTCGTGATGCACTCTGGGCAACGTATACTCATATGGCAGTTGACTTCTCACTTCAAACTACCATCACCTCACTGTACGTCATATTCGACTATTTTCACAGTACTCACCTCAACTTTGTTCTACCTTTGTGTCTGTCTCTTACATCTTTGAAACGCTCTTCTGTTCCCCCCCCCCCCTCTCGACAGTTTTTCACGTTGGTGTTCCTTCCCCTCTGTGAAGACTGTAGTCGACGATAGGGCTAATTAATAACTATCAAATAGCCCACCATTTAATATAAATAAATAAATTTATTATTCCCTTTTAGCCTTCAGCGAGATCGTTGGTATTTGGGGGCGTATATTGAAGCCTAATTTCGACTGACCAGAGTTCAGCTACTTCGAACTTAACTTACGTACCAATAGCATTCTCACAGTTAAAGAAACATAAGAATTTCGTACTTTTGAACTGGAAAGTTAAGCGGGAGCCGCTACTGAAGCTAGAGCGTCGAAGATACTACTTTGATTGAACTATGGAAGCAGTGGGACGAGCCTAGTTTATCAGGAGAAGAGAAGCATACAATTTCCTGAAGCTTCAATTTCTCGACGATTTGGTTTTGCGCTTAATTATGCTGCCACCATTTACCTGCTGCGATCAACACCAGGTAAAAGTGACTTGAATCAGGTTTTTTACCATGGCAGTACTCTGGAGAGTTCACCTTGAGCGAACTCTAATGAAATAAAACAGTATATACACAGGTGGTTTTAAGCTGAAAATCAAACAATGAGAAAGGTGAATTTCGAGAGCCTACGAATACTTTTTACTTTTAAAATAACATTACTAATTGAAGATGTGGAAAATTATCAATCTGGCCTGATCTTAAGCATATTTTAATAATTATTGAAAGGATTAAACTAGATATAGATAAGTGATTTTCCAAGGTAAGCTTGTCATCTTCTAACCCACAGACATCCATGGTAGCTAGCAACGAAACCATGGTTAATGATTTCAGCTTGGGTGAATAAGTCAGTTAACTCAAACAGCTGCTTTTGGGCTTGCTAATAAAAGATTTCAGAACAGTTTATTACGGTTTTTCTGTCGACTAACATTTATCTAAAATTAAAATTAAATATTAATGAGAATGAAGTCAGTAACTTACACGGAACTTGTTTAATTATCTTTTTATCAAAGTCCAACCAAAACTAAAACAAAATTAAAATAAAAGATAAGAACTTAAATAGATAAATATAATCAGCGAATTAAATGAATATTCTAAACGTACCCAAGTTCCCAGTTTCTTGTCTGTGTAGGTAATTCCAAAATAGTCCGTTTCAATAATATCCTGCCCATCACATACGCGTTTAATGAGCTCCATGCCAACCGCCTTTTTACTGAGTTTCAATGACACTTCCTCACCATCTAGAAGCAAAACACATGCTTTCACCGTCTCAGCCACCGATTTCGTAGGTTTGGCCGCATTTTCATTTGTCGCTCTTGCAGATGCAGGTGGAATAGACTCTGGTACCGTCTCTTCTTGTGGTTCCTTTTTCTTCTTACGAAAAGAGACAAGAAATCTATTGTAGAGTTCTTTTCCACTGAATTTGTTTGCCTTGTTTTCAGGAGAAACTTCCGTTTGTGGTGCCCAGAACCTTCCGAGAGCAGTGGATTGACTTCTTGGATGCGGTTCGTTTTGATTTCTGGCACGGGGAAGTGGTGTTAGCTCACCTTCGCTTCCAGCATCAATCGATAGCGCATTTCCAACTCCATTAGTGCTTAAGTAGGAACTTTGGCCGTGTGGTGGGTTTGAGAATTGTCTGTTCCATGAGACATCTTGATATGAATTCAATTCATTGTATCTGTAAGTTTGTTGCATTCTTGGGCCTGTCGAGGATGAAGGAGATACACTTTGGTTAGATGATGCCCTAGCTTTACGGGGCCCGGGAAGCTAAAAATTAGTTATCGGAATTCGATTGGAAATGATAAAATAATTAATATACTAAAAATGAGCTGTGCAAAGTTAGAAAGCTAGTCAAGCGATTTTTGTTATTGATCTAGAGCAATAAATTTACACTTTCAAGTCCTGGGAGTTTAGGAGTATGCATATCCGACTGAACGTGAAAAAAGCTATGATATAGACAACGAGGATATTATTAAGATTTCAAAATTTACGTTAATAAGACAAGTATTAAAATATGCTAATGTATTAACATATTCGTTTTATCACATGTAAATATTCTTTGATGACTACTGAATTAATCCATACTTTGGGTTACAAAATGACATGCTTCAGAAAATAATTGGTTGTAAAAATACTGAAAACGTCTTTTTTAGACCATTTTAAAAATTTTACCTATTTGGGCATATTTACTGAAAAATGGATCATACCAACTCTACCTATTTAGATGTAAATTACGCGGTATTTACTTGAAGGTCTTCCTGCATATATTCATAAAGCGGCTTACAAAAAATTATTCTGAATTTGACAATAAAAATCCCAAATATATTTAGGCACAAGTTAATGACCTTTGGAATGACTAAATTCGGGTTATATTAAAATAACATCTTGTGATTACTGAAATAATAATGATAGCAACTGAATAAATAGATAATATTTACATATACAAACTAGTTTCCATTTTGTGTATATAAATCTTTGCCATTTATCTTCATAAGATAAGTTGATCTCTAAATTCCTCAATTATCTTAATTTCATTTAATATAAGACAATATATTGTTCAAAATATTTCCATTGTTCAGGCTAATAATTGCTACCTTTGACCTGATCTATCATAGTAAATGAAATCTTAAACTTTCATTATGTATTTTTTTGCATATATGAAAAATTATAACTAGTATGTTAAATTAATAAAATTTGATTATAAATGTATGTTGATACATGAGAAAATCTAAATTTACACTATAGAACCTGTCACAGTTGCTCATATTACTATCTTTGAACCAAATTCTCTATAACTAAGACCAATGGCATTCCGTTCATTCACGAAGAAATTAATCGTTTGTTGCATATAACTTGCTAACCGGTTGTATAGTTACTATCATATATGCAAATCGTAAGTGCATAGAGTACTCTTCTGAACGCAACGGCAATGGAGAAGAGGAACTTTCGTGGTTGAACTCATATTCCCACTCTGTCTTCCGTTCTGTAGTCAATAGCCTGAAATATATATTGATGGTGACAAAGCGTTATCAGCCATGTGATCTATTTTTTCTCTGTTGCCTACCCTAACTGACTAATCAGGTCCCTGAGAAATTATATCAATTGAAAATAAAATTCAACAATATCATAATGCAAAGTGACCGAAGCGCTAATTTCAAAATATGATGAAAGTTTTCATGTTGAAGACCATCTATATTACGAGCATTTAGCAACGTAATGTATCAAAAATATTTTTTGAAAGAAAGAGCTAGAATAAACCGGAATTAAAGGGTGAAAACAAATTTTCTAAAATGTTAGCAATATCAATGAAAAATTGTGCTACAATTAGTGGCGCCAATAAATTACAATTCGCCTATTTAAAAACTTGGCACTTCAATGAATTTTGCGAGTCATTATATGTAATCCATATTTTACCGTATTCTCACTAAAACCTTAAACTAGATATAACGCTTTGCCCGGGAATTATTTAAACAGTGTTCATTATATTGCTTTAATGCCATATTTTAAAGAAGAAAGTGATCGTACAGCAGATGACGGCAACTTTATATAAATTAAAATGGCAAAGTTATTTGCCTTTAAATCCTTCTTAACCCAAAATGCATATGCATTTAATTTTATTTGACTAAAATTAACAATAGAAATGCTTGTTTTTTTCAATCATTACTGAACTTACTTCATTATATCAGGAGAGCAATTTTCAGACGATATACTTCCATTTTCTGAACGCCTGGTAATAGATAATAATAGTATCATCTGTCTATTTCAACTTACACTATATAATAATGCTTTGAAATGGTCCGATATTTTCTGACTAAATTTATTTAATAATAATTCTATGAATTTTATGATTATCAAGCTAATAAAGCAAACCTTACGCCCCCATTCTGCTCACACATTTGATGCCGATTTCTGCGTAAGTTCCAGCAAATAGAAGTATTAAATCAATGTTCGGTTTTGCTGTTCATTTGTGCGCAACAAATGTTGTTCCACTGATTTTCTTCGTTTTCAATCGAGTTTTGGAATAATTTCGAAATTAGATATGATATTTTTTATTAGTTTGCTAGTGAATGACACTAGTTGAAAGTCAAACATTTGTGCTTTAATTTAGTTCTCTGCATATTTACCTATGGTCGATAGATTAGAAGTACATTTATAATATTTCTTAAAAAGAGTAACCCTTCAGGCATATTATTATAATTTCATATCACCGAATGACCATGTATACTGACAATGGTTTTTGTGGAGTCCAAAATCGCCTCCATTGAAACGAATGTTGCTGAAAATTTCGTTTTTTAAATATACAAGGCTGCATTAAATCCATCTAGCGTTATTTTTGTCAAAACAAGTTAATTATTTGTCTATGTAATCTAGCTCATCATTAGTTTTCAATACAATTAATTATGTCACTCATATCAAAAACACAGTGCACTTACGAAAATCAAAAATATTTATGCATGATCGTCATGTTATAGGGCAGGTAGCATATCTAAATTCCGTCTGCTATTTTTGATTAATCTATTCCTCGTTTTTAAATAATTGAAGACCATGATAATTATCTGACATTAATCCACTCAGTTTCAATATCATTAAATTAGAGTCTGTATGTTGTGGGCACGTCAACCCTTGCAAAAAATTATGTCCATTAATTGAGTAATCTTTCCATAATTTAAGGACTATGTGACAAACTTATTGAGCTCTTGAACATCATAGTCTATTTAAATTTATCAATGGTGGTAAATTTTTTACATCAAAAAGAGATGATGCAGCTATCGTTTTGATGATCACTTATAGAATTATAATTGACAAAAGCAGCAGAATGAAGTTCAATATTTAATAGCTTGTCAATGGTTAAATGAGGAATGAGGAATTTATTACATTTTATGGGCTAGTAATTAGTTGTGCAGAGGAATATGAATATATATATATATTTACCCTTAGCATCAATTCATTTACTCATATGTGTTCACAGGGTTTAATTCCCTGTTACACATACTAAAGAGGGAAACGTTTCAGAAATTGTTCAAAGTCCAATTATATCTCATCACCAGGTGAGTTGCTGCCAAGTTTTAGAGGGTCAAAGTACTCTTCCGATGTTTCTTATAAAAATAAAAAACAACTAGTTTAACGTCGTTCATTTTTCAGTTTTTAAAACTTGGCCCGGCAATTAGATGCAATGAATGGTGTAAACAAAGGTGCATGCAATTTCAAATTCGCATTTGCTCCATTGAAATCTCTCCCATGGGTCATCAATTAATCACACGTTGTCATATAATATCAAGATAAAGATATAGTAACATTATAGTAATATAAGTTGAGTATAAAATTGACATTATTGAAAATTGATCTTTCGGTTACTAAATTTCATTGATAAAGTATTTATTTATTTCAAATGGCTGGCTTTATGATACTTATCATTTGCCCTTTAGCAAGCGTTTTGATGGTTATCATTAGCCCTTTATTTGACTTCTGGGGGCTAGAGGGAAGGAGGAACATCAAAGTGAGAAAAAGTGGAGAGCGGGACAGATGAGTGATCCACAGATGTAAAAGAGACAGACAGTCACAAAGGTAGAGAAAAGGTGAGATGAGTACTGTGAATGAAGTCGAATATGACATGCAGTGGGGTGATGGTAATTTGAAGTCAGAAGTCAACTCCCAGTTAATAGACCTTTTTGCCGTATGAATATAGGTAGCCTGCAATTTGATATAAATAAGTTTTTTGTTGTATTGATTTTTTTAGTGCTTTCTTTCCAATGTAAATACATTTGTCAAGGTCTTGGTGGTTATTTAAAGTGCGATAAGAAAGCAATATGGAATCCAAATATGATTAATTAAACCC